AATCTAAATTTTCAAAGATTTTAATCTGAAACCTTTTCAAAATTAAATTTATGTAGTATTTTATTAAATTTTGTTTTAAATTTAAATAATTGATATATTTTGGAAAATTTTATTAGAATAGTAGATACCTATTAAAACTCATTAAATGAATGAAAATTTTTGAAATTTTGACAAGAATTTTATTAAAATTTTTGAAAATAATTGATATTTCGGAGAAGAATTTAATTATTTCTAAAGATAATTGAAATTTTGACAAAAATTTTTGAACATAATTGAATTTTTGCGAAGAATTTTATTACTTTTGAAAATAGTTGAATTCCTACAATCATTTGTAATTTCTCTATAATTATCCAAATTATATCGTACAATTTGCGGACTTTACGGACCTTTTTTTAAAAAAACGGACTTTTACGGACTTCAAGCAAAGTTACGGACTTTTACGGGATTTACGGACCTACTATAGTTCAAGCCATGTACCCAGATAGCAAGCTTGAAATGTCTGGACTGCTGCAAACTTGCACTGCAAGCTTGCAGCAAGTTTGCACAGCAAGTTTGTGGAAAGTTTGCACAGCAAACTTGCTGCAATCTTGCTGCAAAGTTGCAAATTTTTTTTATATATTCATAAAAAATTCTACTTTTTGTACCTTTTTTAAATTCAATAAAATTAAAAATATTTGCAAAAAAGGGTAAAAAACATAATTTTTTATGCATACAAAAAAATTTTGCAACTTTGCATCAAGCTTGCAGCAAGTTTGCTGAAAGCTTTCTACAAACTTGCTGTGCAAACTTGCTGCAAGCTTGCAGTACAAGTTTGCAGCAGTCCAGACATTTCAAGCTTGCTGCAAACTTGCAGAAAGCTTGCACTGCAATCTTGCAAAACTTGCAGTGCAAGTTTGCAGCAAGCTTGCGTGCTATCTGGGTATATGGTGGATATCACGTCAAAAGTCCACCCAAAAAAAAATGTCCAATTATTTCCAAATTTTTTTTATGATATGCCCTATAGGTTAGTAATTTGTCGTATAAATTTTTTTGAATTTTATAAAAAATTGTCCGAGGGGGAGGGGGTAGAAGTTCTGAACTTTTGCGTGACACGCTCCACTTTGATTATTTCTTATAATTAGAGAAAAATTTTTAAAAAAATTAGGATATGGGTTTTTTAGATTTTTTCATGGGCTTTCGAATGGCACAGTCTATTTTCAAAAATTTTTTTATTTTGACACAAATTTTGAAAAAATAAAACTAAATTTTCACTTTTCGCATCTTTGGGTCCATTTTTTCTTTTTCCTTTTATTTTTAAATGAAAGCTAAGCTTTCTTCTGATGAAATACTTGTTTTTCAAAAAACCGTTTTTTTTTGTTTTCGAGAAATAAATTTTTGAATATAGCGCATCACGTCGTCGCGCCGCAATTTAATTTATAAAACGTTCCATTGAACTATTTTCTGCATTTTACAGGGTTGAGACTGACATTAGAACAATATAATGGCTGCATTATAGTTTTTTTTTATTTTTTTAAATTAAAAAAAAAATTTAATTTTTTTTAATTTTTAACAAATTTTTTTTACAATTTTTTTTTTAATTCAATGCCTGTATTTTATTTTTTTGTTGGCTTTTTTTACTTTAGCTGTTCTCAACTTTGTCTCTGCATTTTTTGTTTTAGTGCCCTTACTTTTTGAATCTTTTGATGCTAGAAACTCCACATAAAAAAGTCAACAAAAAGAAAAAATAAAATACCTGTTTTGAAAATGTAACGAAATCAGTATTTTGAAATATTTAAAAGTCGGAGGAAATTTTTCAACATCAAAAAATAAAAAAAATGGGAAAAAATGAAAATAAATAAAATGTAGGCATTAAATTAGAAATAAAAGTCTAAAAAAATTTTTAAAAAAATTTTGTTAAAAATTTAAAAAAATTAAATTTTTTTTTAATTTAAAAAATATAGAAAAACTATAATGCAGACATTATATTATTCTAATGTCAGTCTCAACCCTGTAAAATGCAGAAAAAAGTTCAATGTAACGTTTTATAAATTAAATTGCGGCGCGACGACGTGATGCGCTATATTCAAAAATTCATTTCTTGAAAAAAAAAATTGTTTTTTGGAAAACAAGTATTTCATCAGAAAAAAGCTCAGCTTTCTTTAAAAAATAAAAGGAAAAAGAAAAAATGGACCCAAAGATGCGAAAAGTGAAAATTTATTTTTATTTTTTCAAAATTTGTGTCAAAATAAAAAGTTTTGAAAATAGACTGTGCCCATGAAAAAATCTAAAAAACCCATATCCTAATTTTTTTAAAAAAATTTTCCTCTAATTATAAGAAATAATCAAAGTGCAGCGTATCACGCAAAAGTTCAGAACTTCTACCCCCTCCCCCTCGAACAATTTTTTATAAAATTCAAAAAAATTTATCCGACAAATTAGGGACTATTCAAGTATTACGTAAGCATTTAAGGGGGAGGGGGGGTCTAGCTATTGCTTATTTCCATTAGAAAAAATGGCGCTAATGCATATAAAAAATCTTACATGGGGGAGAGGGGGTCTAAAAACCTGAAAAATATGCTTACGTAATATACTTGAATGGCCCCTTACTAACCTATAGGGCATATCATAAAAAAAAATTTGGGAATAATTGGACAACATTTTTTTTTGGGTGAACTTTTGACGCGATATCCACCATAATATGTCGTAGGCAAATAGAAGAATCCGTCATTTAGCTAAACGCCTAGACTTCGCAGTTAGCTAATCGGCGTCGAATACACGAACGAGCTTTAATATTACTATTTTTCGTCTATTCGCCTGAAGGGATCAGGCAATTAGCTAACTGGCTAGGCATTTAGCTATTCGACAAACGCAGTTTAGGCCAATAGAAGAAAATTATATATTTAATAAAATTTTCATTTATTGAAATATTGGAACGCTTTATTTACAAGTTTTTCCATTGCTATAAAATTAAAATACTTATTGATTATAATTTAACACAATTATTATTATTAAAATTATTTATATTATTATTATTTTTCTGTTACTATTCTTTCTAATTATTATTATTCCTAATTAAATTAATTATAACTGTAAGCAGCAGCAAAACAGTCTATCAGTGGAGGGCAGGGATTTAGGAAATGTAATAAATAAAAACGACCACAAACGGAATTTTTAAATTAACAATCATTCAAATATTTTCTTTTAAAAGAGTGAACAATTTTGTATAATCAGTGTAAGTTTCATTAATTTATTGTAAACGGCTTTTGAGTTAATTTTTTTTTTTTAAATGTTGTAATATTTTGTTAATAAAAAAAATAAAAAAAATTTTAAATTTCAAAAAACGGTTGAAAGTGTTTTTTTTTGTTGTGAACTACAGATTTTTATAAAAGTTTTAACATTTTAGAAAATCAATGAAATTTTTTTAACACAGTTGAGCTGGTCTGACCCTATAGCAATGGAAAAACTTATAAATAAAGCGTTCCAATATTTCAATAAATAAAAATTTTATTAAATATATAATTTTCTTCTATTGGTCTAAACTGCGTTTGTCGAATAGCTAAATGCCTAGCCAGTTAGCTAATTGCCTGATCCCTTCAGGCGAATAGATGAATAATAGTAATATTGAAGCTCGTTCGTCTATTCGGCGCCGATTAGCAACTGCCTAGGCGTTTAGCTAAATGACGGATTCTTCTATTTGCCTACGACATATAGAAGAATGTTTGTTTAAAGATTTTTTAAAAATTTCATAAATTAAACGACTACAAAAGCTTCATATAGGTATAACAATTTCCCAAAGTATCAAGCCAATCCCAAGACTTAATTTTTGGCTGGGACATTTGAGAAATAATGCCGCCCATAGACGACTTTCTGCTTTAATGCGAAATGAAAATTTTCTCGACTTTATAAATTCACTTGTTTTTGAAATTTTATTTCCGAATTTCGCCCGTAGATTTGAAGTTCGTATAAAAAAACAAAATTTAAGAATCGATTAATAGAATTAAGTTACGATTGTTTTCAAACTATAATAAAATTTCAATTACCCATTCTTGTTGTCGACAAAATTATATCATTCATGGACACTGGAGATTTACATTGACTTATAATCGCTTCACCAATTAAATTAGAAATGAAAAAAACGGTGCAATTTCATTGCTCCGAATAGACTAAGAATTTAATACACATTTATAATTTTCGAACCATGAACAATGTATTTATTTCGAACAGTTTACATTTAATGTCAAGTTGAAATCCACAACGTTGATCAACGAAAAAAAATTATTCACTAAGCAAATTAATTAAAAATGACGCAGCAATATTGACACAAAAATATTTAGAAAAAAAAGATTGATGTTTAGGTTTAGATAATAATTATTTTACAATTAAATATTAAATTAAAAATAATACTTGAATGCATTAAATACATTTTTTTCGTTGATCAACGTTGTGGACTTAAAATACGTATTTATAATCAGTTTATGTACTGAAATTTTAATTAATGACAATTTATATATAAAATAATTATTGCAAATTGTAACAAATATTAAAATATATAAATATCTTAAGTTAGAGTAATAAAAATGTAACCAATGTACAACCTACTGGGTTATTTGTATCTGACAAGTTATAGCATATAAACAGCAACGTAAAATTTAACAATTTTATAAACTTTATAATATTAAAAATATTCAATCATTAAAGTCGTTGAGTGAACTAATTAAATTTTCAAACAAGTGTTATTAGTGTCCGATAAATTATAACATAAAAAAACATAAAACAATGTACAATTAAACAATTTATCAATAATGTTTGATAAATTAGAATACAAAAAAATCCAATTACTAAAATCGTACAAAATGTACTAATTGAAATATAAGCAATGTACAATTATATATGTCATCAGTGTCTTATAAATTATAATATAAAAAACATAAAACGATGTACAATTAAACAATTTATCAATAATGTTTGATAAATTATAACATTCAACTATTCAATTATCGAAATTGTAAAAAAGGAATTAATTAAAATTTAAGTAATGTACAATTTAAAAATATATCAGTACCTGCTAAATAAAATTTAAAAAAATAATATTAAATTATTTTTGTACCTAGTATTTCTCTTCATTCAATTATTGGCCATTTTCGAATAAGAATAGGACCATAACATGTATCTTGGGACAAAAGAATCTTCTTCTCCTTCTGAAATTCTGAAATTTTACATTTATCGAACTTATTTGATTATAAAAATTGTATAATATTATTTTTAATATCAATTAAATTTATGTACACATGTACTATTTTCAAAAAATTCAATTTAAAATCTGCTGAAATTCAATTATTTTAAAGAAAATTCAATTTTAAACTTCAATTCAATTTTAAATTTTATTTTTAAAGTTAATTATTTAAAAAAATACTATTTAAAACCTTGTAAATTTCAATTAATTATAGAACTTGTAACTGTAATACTTACCAAGAAGACAATATAAACATCTTACTAAGGATAGTTTATTATGACTCTCTGGGGGAATAATTACATCCAATTCCACTATTTCTCCTTCAGAGAAAGATAAATTCTCGAAAAATGCTGCATAACTATCTGCCTCATAAACCCTGGTAATTTCGGAAATGGAAAAGTTATTATATTACTAAATTTTTATAAACAAAGCATGCAATTTAAGTACTTTAACAATCATTAATGAATAACAATCACCTTGAAATTTGTAATCTAAACTGTGAAGGAGACTGCAAAGTAGGATTGCAAGTAGCTTCCTGAGCTTGATCTAATGTGGGCTCTACAACAGAATGAAAAGGTGGGTCTGCAGCAGGCTCAACATTAGACTCTGAAATTGGCTCTAAGACATCTTCTATTGGCTGATCATTCACTAAAATATTGGGTATTTGAATGGTATGTCCTAAAGTGCTTCTCTCACTCAACTCTTGTGGATTAGCTATTCTGCTATCAGTATTATTCACATCAGAAATATCCGCTTCTATCGGAGCCCTACTTATTCGTCTATCATGTTCTTGATTTTCTAATTCAAGAACTGCGTCATCTCGTGGTTCTTGCACACGTTCATCTACCTTACTTCTAACTTCCAAACGGAAATATGTGTTATAAAATATTTCATCAAACAGATCCAATGTATTCTCATTTCGTGTTAATTCTTCTTCAGTTCTTTCTAAAATACTCAAAGGTTGATGAATTGATGGCAGTATATCCTGATCGTGCTTCTGAAAATTTAAAGTAACTTTTTTGAAATTATTTTCATCATTTTAATTCAATTATTATTTTCTACAATTTTTAACTAAAATTCTTCTATAAATCCATTATTTTTAATAATTAATTAAATATATTACAAAATTTTACTAATTTCAAAAGAATTTGAATTATAAATTTTTTTTAAAAATTTAAGTTCTAATTAAATTTATTATAAATTGAAATATTATAAAATTTCAAATGAAAACCTTTTGAAATTTATCTATTTATGAAAATTGTAGACGCAACTCTTTTAAAATTCAATTACCTTGAAATATTTAAGTAAAATTATTCATTAAATTTATAAGTAATAATTTTATGAAAGGGTAAGTGTGTCAGTTGCTGCGAATGCTTCAATTGTTGCGCGTTTGTGAAATGTCTATTTATGTATCACTTATAAAAATATTAAAGTTTACAATTTATAGACTTTATAGACAATTTATAGACAATTGTCTATAAAGATATACCTACATTTAAAATATAATCCTAGTTCAAAAGTAAATGCTGACTTATTTTTAACTTAAACATATAATCAAGAGTATTCGACAATGATTGTAGGTCAAAAGTTCCAAACCAAATGTTTCAATTGGAAAGTTCCAATATGAAAAAGTTTCAAAATACAGAAGGTCCAAAATAAAAATGTACCAAAAGACAAAAATTCCAATATAATTTCCAATATATATGCCCACACAGCACCGAACCTTTCCTAAAAATTTATTAAAGATTTACTTGCAAACTTCGAAGAATTTACTTGCAATGTTTAGTAAAAACTGTGTAAAAATTTAAATGTCCCACTTCGGGGCGCATGATTATTCCCCAAATGTCATTTTTCCGAAATGTCATTTTACCGAACTGCACTTTTGCGAATACTCATTTTTGCGAAAAGCCAATTTTGCGAAATGTCACTTTTGCGAATTGTCATTTTTTCGAAAAGCTATTTTTGCGAATTGTCATTTTTGCAAATCGCCATTTTTACGAAAAGTCATTTTTGCGAATCGACATTTTTACGAATTGTCAATTTTCCGAAAAGTCATTTTTGCGAATTGTCATTTTTACGAAAAGACATTTTTGTGAAATGTCATTTTTGCGAAAGACATTTTTGCGAAAAGTCATTTTTACGAATTGCCATTTTTGCGAATTGTCATTTTTAAGAAATGTCATTTTTGCGAATTGTTACTTTTGCGAATCGCTATTTTTACGAATCGCCATTTTTACGAATTGTCATTTTTGCGAATAGTCATTTTTACGAAAAGTTATTTTTACGAATTGTCATTTTTGCGAAAAGCTATTTTTGCAAACTGTCATTTTTGCGAATCGACATTTTTACGAATTGTCAATTTTCCGAAAAGTCATTTTTGCGAATCGCCATTTTTACGAATTGTCAATTTTTCGAAAAGTCATTTTAGCGAATTGTCATTTTTGCGAAAAATACAATAGTGAATTTATAGACCTACAAGTATTCTATTGTATTTTTCGCAAAAATGACAATTCGCAAAAATGACTTTTCGGAAAATTGACAATTCGTAAAAATAGCTATTCGCAAAAATGACAATTCACAAAAATGACAATTCGTAAAAATAACTTTTCGCAAAAATGATAATTCGTAAAAATAACTTTTCGCAAAAATGACTATTCGCAAAAATGACAATTCGTAAAAATGGCGATTCGTAAAAATAGCGATTCGCAAAAGTGACAATTCGCAAAAATGACATTTCACAAAAATGTCTTTTCGTAAAAATGACAATTCGCAAAAATGAGTTTTCGAAAAATTGACAAATCGTAAAAATAACGATTCGCAAAAATGACTTTTCGGAAAATTGACAATTCGAAAAAATGGCCATTCGCAAAAATGACAATTCGCATAAATAGATTTTCTCAAAAATGACAATTCGCAAAAGTGACATTTCGCAAAATTGGCTTTTCGCAAAAATGACTATTCGCAAAAGTGCAGTTCGGTAAAATGACATTTCGGAAAAATGACATTTGGGGAATAATCATGCGTCTCCCCACTTCAATGAATGTTTATCGTCAAACTTTCCTGAACATATAAATTACATTTTCGGCTACTCTATTATAAGCGAAACTTTCCTGAAAATTTCATGATAAACATTTATTGAAGTGGGACATTTAAATCTTTACACAATTTTCAATAAACTTTGCAAGTAAATACTTCGAAGTTTGCAAGTAAATCTTTAATAAATTTTTAGGAAAGTTTCGGTGCTGTGTGGGTCTAAAAAGTACAAAATTTTAAAAAACAATAAAAATTCAAAAAATTTGTACAGGAGCCATCTTGAAGAAAGTTATGTTGTTTAAAAGATTTTTGTAATAATAGAATCGGATTTTTTACCTTCAGATAAATTATTGGTTCGATGACGCTTCTGAAGAACGAAACTTTTGGTCTTTGGAACTAAGAAGTTTTGGAACTTTTGGTCTTTCGAAAAAAGAAGTTTTGGAACTTTCGGTCTTTGGAAATTAAAATCTTTGGAACTTCTGTTTTGGAACTTTTGTCCTCCAACCTTTGACAATATATATTACTCTAACAGGCTTCGCACTCGATCATTACATTAAAAAAAGTAGTAAACAGTGGCTATCGAAACATTAAATTTGACGACTAAAAAACTCGTTTTTGGAAAATAATAAAATAATACATTTTTTATGTTAAATATTTAAATATTTTTACAGTTTTACAAAAATCAAAAATTTCAAAGACAAACCATTTAAAAATCCTTTAAAATTAACCGACAGATTAGCTCAGTCGGATATATGCCTGGCGTCCCTATTGAAAGCACCCACATGGGTTCCTACATAGGATCTTACGTGGGTTCTTATACAAAAACCTGTATAAAATCCCAGGTCCCACGTAAGAATCCACATGGGATTCCATGTTAAAGCACATGCATAGTTGGGACACGATTTGGAGTAGGAATTCATGTGGGAATTTAAGTTTGTGTGTCTACATAAAAATCCACATGGATTCCTATGTGAGAACACATATAGGATTCCATAAAGGATAATATTATATATAATATATATTATTATATATTATTATTATTATTATTACGTTCCTATTTCACATAGGTTTTCAAAAAAGATTTGATATGTGATTACATTAGGGATCTATTGTGAGAATTTTCAAAGCTTTTAAAATTATTTAATTAAAAATTAAATAATAAATTGTATTAGCATTTCAAATCATCAGTAAGAAAAAAAATTCGATAATTTGAAACACTTCTTCTGAGCTGTAAACTCTCAGTTATATAGTGTTCAAAAATCATGTTAACAGGGGGAGAAGTCGCTCTCGCCACCTGGCGGTGAAAGTATATAAACTGTGGTATTTTGTATCATTATTAAAAAAAACCACGTGAGATCCTATGTAAGATCCCATGTGGAAAATTATATTGGAAATAATATACGATCTCACCTGGGAATTCATATAATTTATTATTTATTATATATTTATTTAATATATTATATTTTATTTATTATTTTATTATTTATAAAAATAATTGGAGTTTTGCCAAAAAAAAGTTCTTAAAATTTTGGAAAATAATTGAATCGTTTCAAAGAATTTTATTGAAATTTTCGAGAATAATTTAGTTATTTCAATTATTAGCGGACTTAAAGTAGTGTAAATTCTAAAATTTTAACTGAAATTCAATGTTAAATAAATTCTTGTTAGAAAGGTCTAATGGAATTCTATTAAAATTTTTGAGAATAATTTCTTTATTTCAATTATTAGCGGATTTAAACTAATGTAATTTGTGAAAAAAAAAAAAAAAAGTAGCTTTTAGTGTTAGAAATCTGAAAAAGTATCAAAATAAAATGGAACGCTGGTTTAGCGGACACCGCTTTAGCGGAATTTTTGGATTCTGATTTATAATTTTCTTTGTCTTGCCTCGTTAAAGGTATTGTTCGCTTTAACGGACGACTCCCCCGAAATGACAGTTCGCTAAACTGGCGTTCGAGTGTAGTAGCAAATTGTAAAAAAGTAGTAAATAGTAGGTTTTAGTAGATGAGCGCGAAGCCTGCTCTAATTATTAATATATTACTCTAAAATAGATGAAAATGGTAATAGCGTAAAACAGAAAAAGTTTATAAGAACTCACCCTTATTTGAAATTCAAGTTTCTGTTGATACGTCAATTGTGCAGATAGTTGAACCATTTTGTTAGCAGTCACTTTTGTTAACTTGAATCTTGGTTTAGGCGCTGGAATTTCTGGTCCTTCAGGCTCACTTATCTGCGATAACCTTTGAGCCTCTGGAACTTGAATATTTTCAACTCTGGGAATTTTTTCTTCTATTTGTCTGTCTGCTTCCCTCTCATGAGCAACTGGACTCTAAGAATGTAATTACCAAAAATAAATTTGTAAAATTATTACTTCACATTCATAATCTTTGGGGTCGTCCATAAATCACGTAGCCCCATTTTTTGGGAATTTTGACCCCTCCCTCCCCCATGTAGTACGCTATTACATGTATTAGCGCTATTTTTTCCTCTTGTCGTATAGTCAATTGCTTGACCCCCCCCTCCCCCTCAAGAGGCTACGTGGTTTATGGATGGCCACGTTTCAAAAAATCCACTTTAATAGGACAATCAAGTTCCTAAAGTTTTAAAATTTGAATTTAGTAAATAATTATTAAAGTCGATTTTCTTATTAATTTTCGAATTTTAAGTTTCCATTAAGTCTGATGAAAACTATTAAATTCAAAAACTGGTAGGAAAATCGACCCAAAATTAATGTATTTTCTGTGGGGTCCTTTAATTTTTATCCATTTGGCTAATGCGATAAACATACTTCTAAAAATAATAATAAAAAATTACCGGAGGAAATGCTTCATTTACATCTATTTCTCCAGCAACGTTTTCATCCAGTCTTTGATCGGTCACCGTTTCATTGTCGTCCATCCTCTAAAATTACAAATATACTTAGAATATTATTTTGTCAATAAAATTTTAAACAGAAATTCGAAAAACACATTCTCGGAAAATTTGAATAAAAATCATTCCCATAAAGCATCCAAGCATCCAAGCATCCATTTTTTCCTAAAATTAGAAATTAACATGACTGTAAATCTTATGCAAGCACATTAATTACTTCAACTTTCATGAGCTTTTCAATTAAAGATTCAGAAAGTTGTAGGAAAGTTAATTACAAATTTCAGGAAACTTTCAATGATATGTTAGGGATTAGATCTGAAAATAAATTTAGACTAGTTTCGTAGAGTAACAAAAATAACGTTGCAAATGAATTTTATAAGTACCTGTAGTATTGGTTCATTTATCTCCATATTATCTTCAGTCGGTCCTTCCGTTTCTGCTTCAATCTGGTCTGTAACCTAAGATTCCACTTCATTCAATAAAACATCCTCTAAGTGCAGAATATCTTGTGGTAATTTTAAACTTAAACTTCATCAAAATTCATGAAATTTGTGAAAAAACGGTGAGAAAATTTATAAAATCATAAACAAAAATGAACAATAATAATAGAAATAGGGGAGAGCAGGATTGAAAGTGCCGTTAATTATATCTCAAAAACAAAAAAAGATTTTAAAAAAATTCAAATTTTTATCATACTTTAGTTTTTGATCAGAAAGAGGTAAAAAGGGGGAAAAGGTGAAAAAGGTAACAAGAATTGAAAAAAGAGGACTATCTGTGATGCCTGTTGTAATTGCTTCATTTTTCGAGAAATTATCCACTCTTGGTCGTGAGGCTGTAGTCTCCAAGTTAAGCAGAAAATGAAAAGCAAAGCAGAATGACTCTCCTTCTTGTATTTATAAAATTCTGCCTTGCATTGCGTTTTCTGCTCAACATGGAACCAACCATTGATCAGGGAAAATTAGAATATTTCTACGATGTCCATGGATATAATATCCTACCGACATCTTAGGGATATTTGAATTTCCGGATTAATATAGGTTGCTCTTAGATTACGTTACCATTGATGACATTTTTCTTCTTTTACTAGGCGTATCATCATGGCGAACAAAGGAGGCTGGTCTTTTTGTCGGAGTGTCTGGCACTAGGTCAGAAACTGGAACTTCAAAAAATATAACATTAATTATTGTTTTAATGAAAAATGTCTACTCATAGGAAAGAGGATCTGTAATTAGAATTTTTGATTTTCCAAAAACGTTTTTAGAACGTTTTTCATGTCCGCCAAATAATGTTCCAAAACATTTTAAGAACATGGATTTTAAATAATAATGTTCTAGAACATTATTTGTCGGACATGAAACGTTCTAAAAACGATTTAAGAAATTTTTTGGAACGAACATGATTTTTTGCCCAGAGGGAAGAAAATAGTGACGAATAAAAATTTCTTGAGGTAATTTTTTTTCTTTTTCTTTATGTCGTTATAATGAATGACTTACTATTTTCAGGGATTGCAATTTCTTCTGTTTCAGTAATATTTCGTGCTGTAGTCACATATTCCCTTGTTCGATCTCCTTCGCAATACTTTTCAAAAGCCAGCATCATTTCCTTTAAATTTAATTCTTTCTCCACAGGTGACGAGCGACCATTTGGTATATTACGAAGCAGATCGTCTTGCTATAAAATCAAAGAAGGGACAAAATTATTCAAAAATAAATTATATGTAAATATTTTTAATAGTCAATAATTTTATTATTTTTATAAAACAGATAAAAGAAATATTTAGAAATATATGAAAGAAAAGTATGAATTTAATATTTAAATAGGGTAAATGGTACAGTTTAAGAACTTCACACGTAAAAGCATCGATACCTGTTCGTTAAGAAGGTGTTCATCAGGTGGAGTAAGAGGAAAATGTAATTTTGGCATTTCAGGAGTTTTTGGTATATCTTCAATGGATATTGCGCTTTCTGGTCTAAAAAATGTCGAAATTGGAAAGTTATACCACAACCAAATAATTAAGGAGTTAGAAAGTTAAAAAAATTAGTTCCAGTCCGTTTTTCAAAAAAGTACATTTTTGCCACAGTATTTTTGTTTCAAAAAAGAAATAAAAAAAGACTGATCAGCTGGTCACTTTTTAATCGACCATAACTTGTATTTCTTTTTTAATTTTTTAGACTTGGAAAAATTATCTTTCTGAAACTTTTAATACTTGGAAAATTAATTAATTGGAATATATTTTCTAGAACTTCTGTATCCCAATTGATAAACTAAATAATGTTCTAGTGTTAATATTTTTAAATAAAAATTATGTATACCTTGTCCTTTTCTTCAACTGTTCAGAGTGTAGTAATGAATTAGCTCTTTCTGATAGAAAAAGAGATTAAATTATATTGACAAAGTTTAATTTAATTTAATTAATTATAATTATTTATATAAGGCAATTAATATTAATTTCATTTTGGCATCTACAGTTTTTTAATTCTATAAGTTAAATTATCTTAAGAATGAAACGGATATTATATATAATAATTTTGACGCAAGTTTAAAAAAATAAGAAATGAAAAATTATGCTAAGTTTATAGTTGTTTACGGTGACAAATAAGTTATACCCATAAGAATAAAAACCACCCAGAGTAACACTGAGAATTATATTTTTTAAATTAATTAACTCTGTTTTATTATATACATTAGGGTGTCCGTTATTTCCCAAGTTAGCTATTTTCATTTGGGTATCGTCAAAATCGTTTCTTTTTGACCTAAAAACAATTCTAGAAACTAGAAAAAATTTTTACGATGCCGTTTAACCCTGCCTAAATAACAATACTTTTCCCATTTAAATAACATGGGATTTTTGCACTTTTTAGAAAATAATTTTTATTTCGTTTATAATACTCTTTGACTAACCAACAATGCTTGATTTTGCTTCTATTATGATTCCTTTAGATAGTGAAATTTTCATATTATCGCGAAAAATTTATTACACAAGTTTTAAAAAGGTCAATTTCATTTTTATTGATTTTTCTGATTATTTTGCTAAATCTACTTATTAATTAATTTTTATTTGGTATTTCATTGAAAGTTTCTTGTTTTATGCATCCAATTGGACCATAACAATAATTTCTGTTCATAAACTATCCAAGAATCACACAGTAGACTGAATCCATTTCAAATCAGGCATGTCGACTAACTTCATGTTATAGAAAAGAAATTGTTTTGCTTGTCATTTTTTTTCTTTTGAGTATAATTTAAATTTCTTTCTTGGGTCTTGTAGATGGTCTTATCCTCTTCATAATCCAGTTTGAAATTTGAAAAAATATTAAAAATGATAAAAATAGGGGATGATTTTCTGAAAATAAATAAGATTAATTTTCTCAAAAACATCACATTTTTACTACAAATTCTTAAAATAATTATGAACATTTCCTATGAATTTTAAGTGGGCTTAACCATTCTGTCAATCAAGAGAATTTTTTTTTAAATATTTATTTTTGCAAATTTTTAAATTGTTAACTTGCATTTTTAAAAACAAATAAATCGTTATAACATTGTTGACGTGAACGATAACAATTTGAAAATTTGTAAAAATAAATTTAAAAAAAAAATTCTCCTGATTGCCAGAATGGTTTAGACCGCTTGAAATTCATAGGAAGTGTTCATAATTATTTTAAGAATTTGTAGTAAAAATTTGATAACAAAAAAAGGTGGTGTTTTTGAGAAAATTGATCTTATTTATTTCCAGAAAATCATCCCCTATTTTTATCATTTTTAATATTTTTTCAAATTTCAAACTGGATTGTGAAGAGGACAAGACCATCTACAAGATCAAAGAAAGAAAATTAAATTATACTCGAAAGAAAAGAAATTATAAGCAAAAGAATTTCTTTTCTATAACATGAAGTTAGTCGACATGCCTGATTTGAAATGGATTCAGTCTACTGTGTGATTCTTGGATAGTTTATGAACAGAAATTATTGTTATGGTCCAATTGGATGCATAAAACAAGAAACTTTCAATGAAATACCAAATAAAAGTTAATTAATAAGTAGATTTAGCAAAATAATCAGAAAAATCAATAAAAATGAAATTGACCTTTTTAAAACTTGTGTAATAAATTTTTTGTCCTACATGCGCGATAAACTCGACTTTCCGTGCATGCATAGCGGGCGGAAAGTAAGCTTTTGCCGCCCGACTACAAACAGCGGGCGGAAAAACTACTTTTCCGCCCGCTGTTGTCGTGCCCTGTATGTCCATGGGCTCTATAGGGCCATCGAAAAAAAAAGACATTTAAAAGTTAACGAATATGGCTAAAAATCCTTACTCGGGGGTTTTCGGGGTCGTTGAATCCAAATCCGTTGACGAAAATTCAAAATTCAAAATGGCGGCTTCAAAATGGCGCCCAAAAAAAATTTTTAAGTTAACGAATCTGTCTAAAAATACCTTAAAATGCCTACTCGGGGGTTTTCTAGGTCGCTGATTCCAAATCCGTGGTCAAAAATTCAAAATTTAAAATGGCTGCTTTAAAAAAGCTAAAAAAAAAATTTTAAGTTAACGAATTCGTTAACTTTTTAATTTTTTTTGGTGGATATTTTGAAGCCGCCATTTTGAATTTTGGCTTTTCGACCACGGATTTTGAATCAGTGACCTCAAAAACATATAATATGACAATATCATGATTTTTTAAATAAATTTTTTTTTGAACACTTATGGCACAAAAACTTTATTTTCACTCGACTGTGAAGGGGTTAAAATCGGCCAAAAATATTTTTTTTCTATTCTGTATCGAAAAAAAACAGATACGTATTTTTTTTATTTTTGTTTAATTGTCCAAATTTTCGAGTTATGAATTTTCTAAATTTTGGACTTTTAATTGTAGACCTATATTCAATAGCTTATAAGTCCGAAAATATTGAGTTTAGGGAAAAGTTGTCAAAGAATAAAAGTTTTAGTTTTCTTTCGAAATTTAAGAAATGTAAACAAGAAAATTGTTTTTTAATTTTTTATTAAAAAAAATTTTAATTTTTTATAAACAAATTAATTTTTTTTAACTTTGAGCCGGATTTTTTTATATTTTTTTTTAATTTATTTATACCTTATAATATAGAGAAGATTTTCCAAAAAGTCCCGAAATGGGCCTGATGTGTTAAATGAGTGTTAAAATATTTTCAAAAATCACTTGCAAGCATCACAGTGGGATTTTTTTTACAATTAACTATTTAAAACTGTCTACAGCGTAGACCCTTTAATTTAAAACAAAGAACACTCAAATAGATTAAAAATTATACGCTGTAGACAGTTTTATAAAGTTAATTGTAAAAAAAATCCCACTGTGATGCTTGCAAGTGATTTTTGAAAATATTTTAAAACTCATTTAACACATCAGGCCCATTTCGGGACTTTTTGGAAAATCTTCTCTATATTATAAGGTATAAATAAATTTTAAAAAAATAAAAAAAAATCCGGCCCAAAGTTAAAAAAAATTAATTTGTTTATAAAGAAAAATTTTTTTTTAATAAAAAATTAAAAAACAATTTTTTTGTTTACATTTTTTAAATTTCGAAAAAAAACTAAAACTTTTATTCTTTGACAACTTTTTCCTAAACTCAATATTTTCGGACTTGTAAGCTACTGAATATAGGTCTACAATTAAAAGTCCAAAATTTCGAAAATTCATAACTCGAAAATTTGGACAATTAAATATTTTTGGCCGATTTTAAGAGGTCGACTAAAATCTCATGTGGAATTGCCCATATATAATTTATATATAATAAATTTATTTACTTTTCTTAGTTTAATACTTACTTAAAGGTTTTCTAAAGTAGTAAAGACATAAAAATATTTAATAAAATAATTTTAAAATATAAAGATTTATCATTAACACAGGCTTCACACTCAATAATTAATTTTAAAAAAGTATCGAAAAGTAGCTTTAATACTGAAAAAGTAGTAAAAAAGTAACTATCGAAAATTAATTTTAACCAATAAAAAGAACATTGTTTTAGCCGATTCACAAAAATTTGATTTAGTATTTCCCTAACTGTTTCCTGATTTGAATCAAAAATAATTATTTTTATTCTAATCCTGCTGAGAATTTTAATTCTAAATTTTTGAAAAATTTAATTACTTTCCAAAGTTTAACCTAAAAAATACAATTGTATTTAAAAGTAATTTTTAAAAAAATAAATAAAATTATTTATTAAAATTTAATTTAAATTCTGTTAACAGGAATTAAGAAAATAAATTAATAATTTTTCAAAGTAAAAATTTTAATGTTATTACAGTTTGACAACAATTAAAATTTAGTTATTTCTAAAAAATTGCTCTATAACGCTTTTAATATTCAATTATTTATTATATAAAAATTTAAACGGAAAATCGTTTTTAAATCAATTATTATTAGAAAGTTCAACTAAAATTCAACTATTTAAATACAAAAATAAATAATATATTGAATAATTGAATGTGTTTCTCAAAAAATTCTTATAAAGAGTTAATAAATTTTTTAAAAAATTAATTCAATTTCTGAGAAGAATTTTATTTAATTCTTTTTAAATAATTGAATTCTCGTGAAAAATTGTATTATTTGGGAAAATAATTGAATAATTGTCAAGAATTAAAGAAAGAATTCAAGAAAATTTATAAATTTTAAAAAAAATAATTGAATTTCTGAGAAGAATTTTATTTAATGCTTTTTAAATAATTGAATTCTTGTGAAAAATTTTATTATTTGGAAAAATTATTGAATTCTTGTGAAACATTTTATTCAAATTTTTAAAAATAAGTAGGTAATTGAATTCTTGAGAAGCATTTTATTATTTTTGCCCAAAAATACAGAAAAAGTATCTTTTAGTGTCATAAATCTAAAAATGTATCCAAATAGTAGCAAATTGTAAAAAAAAGTAAATAGTAGGTTTTAGTAGATTAGTGCAAAGCCTGGAACATGAAATCGACTGATTCTGTGGATTTATCCTTATAAAATTTCCAGTATTATTTAATTATATAATTATTTTTAAGAATTTCTCACCATAAAGGATATTCAATTTTTCATGACGAAGCCGTTGTGCTCCTTCCAGAATAATCATTGTCCAATAAAGTCTGACTTTTTTTGTTATTTCTGTGTCATATAAAATTTCTCTTAAAGTATTCCTAAAATGTATTATAATTAATTTAAATATATTTAAAAAAAATTTATTTGTTTATTATAAGAGACGAAAATTTACTCAATTGCCTTCAGTTCTAGAGAACTGATTTCTTCTATAGAAATTGCTTTTCTTATGTTTTTTGCTTTAGTCGCAAGTAAACATTTAGAAACTAGTGGATTGTTCAAATAGATATCCATCTGAAATAAAAAAAAATATTTTAGTTTATTACTATTATTATTAGTCACTGATCGGGAAATTATTTATGAATATTAATGTTAAAAAAAATTATTTTCTTTAACTCGACGGTATATTTTCTAACCAACAAAAAATGGTACATTTCGTGTTTCTTTAAACAAAAAGGGAAAAAAATAATTTACACAATTTTAAGGGTTTTTCAAAAAATTCTGTTGATTTAAGGGCAAAAAAGAGAATTAACTGTGATTCTTGCAATTATAATTTTATGGAGATTATTCATAAGGTTATTTTTTTTAGTCATGAATCATAAACAAAAATTTACTTTCGAAAATCAAAATTATTCACCGTATAAAAGAACAAAATAGGAAAGAATTATCAAAAAATTTCTGAGAAAATAATTTTCTTTTTTTTATACTTATAAATTATTTTACTAAATAAATGTAAATAAATCCGTTAGGAATTCGGGAATAAAAAACTTGTGATAAAATTCTGAGAATTCGTGGTGAAACGTTAATGAATATTATATTTATCTAAAGAAAAACAAATCAAAGAGAAAATAAGTGAATTTCACTAACTATAAATACAAATAATATCTCAATACTATACGTACCTTGTTAATCATATTTTCACTTACAATTTAATACCAATTTTTTAATAAAATTCTTTCCACTTATTGGAAGTACGTTAAAAAATTTCAGAAATCCGTTGAAGAATTTTTGCCTCTAAAAAGCAAGGTTGTGTAGTTTAGCATTTTATTCTTGGCGTAAAGGCCAATACACAATACTTATAGAATATTAAGACGCTCTGCATGCATGCCAATGCATGCATAGTTGTCATGGTAACACATGAGAGTAAGTAAGTCAGAAAATTCAAATTTCATGTTTTTTCTCTCTTATACTCTCATGCTGGCAGTCCTGGCAGTAGAGCTGTGCGAGCGCCTTTAAAGACAACGCACAATAGCTTCGCGTGAAAGTTGTTCGCCAACGAGACGCATGAGTTAGAAAAGGACACAAATATATCTCTGTCCTTTCTTTTTATCTTTTGACCCTCCATCACACACCTAGGGAGGGATTCCCTCTCCGGTTTCAGTATTTTTTCAATAACTTTGTTTTCCACATTGCAAAATAAAATCAGGGTGGAGTCCCATGGCAGCGTTTTGCGTTGCGTTGTAATAAGAGAGAATGCAGCAAACGTATATTTGCGTCTTTTTCTCTCCCATTACGACGCAACGCAAAACTCATTCTTACGGTTACGATTGCGGTTCCGGTTACAGATCTATTCTGCGTTGGCCTTTACGAGGACAACTCTAATATTAAAATCCTCGGATAAGCTTAAAATTTTTATTAAATAGTATATACTGGCTATTTGTACATACAAGAGGCCATAAAAACAAAAGGAGAAGAAGAATACCTTTTGACGGTTTCCTCCTCAACACATTTCTAAAAAAACATTTAGTTTAAACATAATTAATCTTTAATTATGAGGCTTCAAAGCCAGTAGAAACTCGAAAAAGTGAGGTTATGTTAAGTAAAAAAATCAGGGGGGTAACACTGCTTTACAACTCGTGTCAACATGCTGACTGCTGCCACCGCAGCGCTGATTAACTTTAAGGCCAATATTTTGGCGGGAATTTAAAAAAAATATTATTTTAAATATTTATTAATTATTTTATATTAATAATTATTAATTTTGCAAAATATTGTTAAATAATTAATAAATATTTATAAATAATAAAAATAATGTTATTTTTTTTGAATTCCCGCCAAAATATTGGCCTTAAAGTTAATCAGCGCTGCGGTGGCACCAGTCAGCATGTTGCCACAGAATTATATGGAAATGTATAGGAGTGTCACCGGGCTGAAAAAAATCAAGTTTTCAAAACATTTTTTGTTCCACTGTTGGTTAATGACAAAAATATATTATAAATATAATTAAAATAAATTATTTAATGATTTTTTCATAACGCGGTGCAAAAAAAGGCACTTTTTTGCACCTTGTTATGAAAAATATCGTTCGTAACTAGTGCTAGCAGTTGCCAATTTTTGAACGAGCACTTTTTTTGGAACAAACTGTAGGCGAAGCTTCGCTTCGCTTACAATTTGTTCCAAAAAAAGTGCTCCTTCAAAAATTGACAACTGCTCGCACTCGTTACGAAATATACTATTTTGCTTATTTGTTAATGTTGCATTATTTTTACATGTAAACCATGTAGACGTCAAAGCGTCGGCGTAAAGGCGGAAAGCGCAATTTACTAGATTCTCCTATGAAAAATTACTCGTAAATTACTCATATTTAATTACATTAATTAATTTACTCTCTAATAGAGAGTCAAACGATTCTCCTATGAAAAATTACTAGAATCTAGTAAATTGCGCTTTGACGTCTACTCTTTTTTCTTTTTTCTCTATCTCATTATTCAACGCAAAGCGCAGCGTTAGAACGCAAGCATGTAAACACCGCTTCACGGTGAAGTCCCATGGTAGCGTTTTGCGTTGCGTTTTGTAACTAGGCCATGAGTGCAAATATAGCAAACATATATCTCCATGTCTCTCACACCCATTGTCTAGTTACAAAACGCAACGCAAAACGCTGCCATGGGACTCCACCCCAAGAAGACTAGAGACAGGAGGTAAAACTTCGGTAGTGGGGGTATGGCAATGCTGAGTCGCTCAGCTGATGTATGGTCAGGCGTTTACTTTCAAAAAAAGTTTTCGCCGCAGTAGACCAGACGGACTTCTGCGCAATCTAACACACGTAAACACGGGAAAATATATTCTATACAAATACAATATGAAATATAAGTGTTTATATTTTCAAACATCTTACAGTTATTAAAAAAACGTTTTAAAAACAAAAAAATGTGTAAACTGTAGCATGAAGTGTATTAAAAGTTAACAAAAAGTAATAGTCATAGTGTTGTGTAGGTTTATTTTTCTTCTTGTTACAACTTTTCACACAGCACGTTTTCGGAATTTTTAACTATTTGAATAACACTTAATTTAATAATCACTCACATTATTTCTATATATCCGTTATGACACACATTGTCAATTGTGTCTCGATTGCACTGATTGCACTTTAAAGTTAACCTTAAATTAAAATCATATCATACACATATGTAAAACATATGGTATACAAGAATTTGAATGTGTGAGTGATGTGCAGAAGCACCGCGCCGGCAACTTTTCGAGACGAAAAACGCCTAGTTAATGAAAGGCTTTTGACTCATCCCCACTACCAAAGTTTCACCTCCTGTCTCTAGCCTTCTTGCTCCACCCTAAGAAGCAAAAATCGATTTTTGGATTACGATTGTTTCAGATAGATTAAAAATTATTTTATAAATATCTGAAGTCAAAATTAATTATTATCAAATACTTTCCTGATAACGATTTAAAAAAGAGCAATTTGTGCTAAAAGTTGATTCTGTCTTTCTTTTTTCCCTCCTTCTGTAAAATTTACGTTATACTTCTTAAGGCCTTTCTCCAATAGGTTTTAAAAAGTGTGCGAATGACTGCGTCTGCGTCGGTTGCTATAGCAACACATGCTAAAATCAACGCAACGCAGTCATTCGCACACTTTTTAAAACCTATTGGAGAAAGGCCTTTAGGTGCTTTTCCTCCCGACGCGTCACATATATGTTTGCTCTATTTGCACTCATGGCCTAGTAACAAAATGCAACGCAAAACGGTGCCATGGGACTCCACCCTTGGGCAGGGATGGGTTTTGACGCGTCACTCGAGGTTTTATACGTATAATACATTTTCGACGTATTATACGTATAAAACTAGGTAAAATACATAATCATAATAATATGTGACAGGTACACACTATAGTATTAGAAGTTTCATAGCTGAACAGTTTGGGACTCAACACAAGTTATCCCATTCATCAGCTTAAACAAGACTGTTTATATAGTCTAAGAGGGAATAAGAGTATAAAAAATTGGAATGAGAAATTACTTTCTCATGTAATTGTTAAAAGAACGCAGCAGTGTACAAAACACAAGTCAATAATAGAAGCGTATATTGAACAAATAGTACTCAGTCCAGTTCTTTCGAAAAATGAACGCCGTGCACATAAAGTAGATACCTATACTCGAATACCACAAGTTATTCTCTCTCTCTCTCACACTAATGGTCGTTTACTAATCTTACCGTTTCACTTACTCTTACTACTCTCAACTATTATGCAGTGCAGTTAAGTTCATTAAATTATTAAATATTGCTGTGAGAATAATTAATTATGTACATTTCATTCAAGGTCAATTCACTATTTTGTACACGGAAAAAAAAGAATAATCAAATTTACCATGAGGAGTGTCAAACTTAAAAAAGGTTTCAAGGTTATTAAGAAAAAATTAATGTTTTTTATTTATTTATTATTAAATTCTAATAACCGCGTATCAAATTCAAACTAGTTGAAAATATTATTTATTCAATATTATGAATATTGTTGACATCCATACTTACATTAATTACAAAGTAAAATCCACGCATAATCTAATTTATTTCATTGGTAAGGGATTTTTCTTAAATAGGAAATTTCCCCCATCGATTGCGTAGCCGAGAGGCTTCCCTACTAAAAATAAAATCAGGAATCGTCATGAATGGTCAGAATTTCTGAACATTCCTGAACAGTCTCACCACTTCTGACGTTTTCGAACGTTTCTCACCATTCCTAACCAAATACTTTCCAAGCTCCTCCCACTTTACTCCCACCATTTTTGAAGCTGTGACCATTTCTTAAATTCCTGACCATTTCTGAAATTCTTGATTATTTATAAAATGTGTGAACACATGACCTATAAAAATTTTGGTACATCTTTCTAATTTTGGTAAAGTCTCATGAAAATTTATATATACATATAAAATCTTTCAAATTTATTTTTTACATTTCAGAATACATTATTCTATTATAAAAATTGTTCATTTAACTTAACAAAAGTTCTCATTTTTCAAATTGGTACACGGAAAAAAAAATCCGCCTAATAATGCATGGAGTCTATTGGTTCGATTTTTACATGAGCCCATTTTGCATATATCACACAGGAGTTTACTAAAAATGCATGGCTTTTGTGACTTTTGCCACAGCACCATGCGAAAATAGGATGGATTCCAAGCTAATCACGCATGGTAGTGTGCGTGCAATATACACAACAGACGCTCATGTGTTTTTAGCCTAGTATTTTTTTCCGTGTATAATTATTGAATTAATTATACAGCAAAAGTAGGTAAATAAATCAAAACATTCGGACCATTCTTTTAACATTATTTAATATATTTATTTAATGTATATTTATAATATATTAATTTAATATATGTATATTTACTTGTAATTATTTAATATAGTTAATTAATAATAAATTTTGTTTCATAATATTAGTAATTTACTATACCAATCAGTACTTATTATGAGAAGTATTTGCATTATAATTGAAATACAGTTATATTTAAATTATTATTAATCATTAATAGAATAATTTCTTACTATAATGATTATTAATATTTTAAATTTATAAAAATTTCAATATTGCATTAATAATTCATTATTATTATAAATTATAATGTTAAATTAAATTAATATTAAATACTAAATTCATTTTAAATGCAGATATAATAATAATTATTATTAATCTGTATTCGTATTATAGTTTATGAAACATTCCAAATTGTAAAGTTAAGACTTAATTTATTATTGATTCAATTAATAATGTTAATTTTTATTAATTCACATAACCTATTATGACTAAATTGAAATATAATTAATTAATAAAAATTATTTAACAGTTTATTCTGATTTATTGATAATATTGGTAACTGAATTTTACTATTTTACAGTTGCTCTTTATATAGACAGTTGAATCCAGAAATATGTAAGTCGGTTCGGTAGTCGCAGTCGTTAGGGCAGTTAGTTTAGGCACTAGGTTAGGTCATGCGTCGGGGTTCGATCCCCGTAGGGTCCAAATTTTAATTTAATTCCGGGAATTAGTTTCAAGTTGTTCCGTATGTAAACAAACTGATATTAATTAATAAAATATATTTTTTAAAATTAATTTGTTGCAACTTTTTGCATATTGTTTAAATAAATAAAACAAAAGTGGCTTAAAAATATTGTCAAAAATGAGATACAAATGGTCTCAAATAGTCACCAATTATGGGCGGGGTCAACAATGAGGAGGGGATAGTAGCAAACTTGTGACCACTTTAAACTTCCTCCTGATCAGTTGTGATAGATTTCTGACGAGATCCATCCAGAATCGTAAGAAAACTGGATTAAAGTGGTCAGGCGGCCTGACCATTTGTCTGACCATTCCTGATTTTATTTTTAGTAGGGTTAATGTAAAAGCGTGCGATTTATAATTATATGCGTACATATTTAGTTGTATGGTTAGGTAGGTGTTCAATTCTGTATGATTGTAAGATTTTCCGATGTATTTAGTTGTTAATTGTAAGTATGAAGATGTGGGAAGAATAAAACTTGTGAATTAATGAATATGAATATATAAAGAGTGCATTTAACATATTTTTCTTTTTTTTTTAATGATTGGTTATTGTTTTTTTTATATAAAATTGACGAAGTGAATAAAAGGAAACACTCGTTTCACGTCGCGTCGGCCATTTATTTTTATTTATTTAAGTTCTAAAGGATATATTGCATACATAATAAGAGCATATTGTTAGATGAATTCTAAGTCGGTGAAAAACAAGTATAATGTTTAAATAAATATGAATATAAACAAATAAAAAGATTTCCCTTTAATTTTATGACGGTCAGTTGACCTTTTTCCAGGTAAAAAAGGGTGTCGACTTTGTATAAAAAACCTGACTACTTTTGAAGCTTTCTGATTAAACGTGACTCAAGCCTGACGTTCTCTGGCTGCAATCGTAACAAATGCAGCCTAAAATCATCAGAGATTCTGACTAAATTTCTGTCGTTTTGTGATTTTATTTTTAGTAGGGGTTGCTTACAACTTTTCAAAACAAAAGTTAATTAATATTTATTTACACGGTTATTTATCAAGAAAATTCATCTTCCTATTGTAAATCATTAAAAAACAATATTCATCTAATAAAAACTTGATTTTTCTTACTTAAAACAGTGTCAATTCATTTTAATAAAATATAAATTTTTAAATTCCCGCTAGAAACAGTTTTTCCATTATATCGGAAAAGCGAAGTGTGAACGCGATTTTGACTTTTTCGGTAAATGTTTTTTCTACCGACCGTCGTATAAATGTACCCTTAGAAAAAATGACGCTAATGCACATAAAATATCTTATAATAAAGAGGAGGGGGGTCAAAAAAACTTAAAAATATGCATAATATTTTAATATTTTTAGAAAAAAAGTAAAAAAAAGAAAAAAGTAAAAGGACACAAGAAATGACTACCAGAATGATGAAAAATTGAAATATTCCTATTCCTCACGAAATATTATATTTAGATTCTAAATTGTTCTGTATTAAAAAATAGAAAAAAATATTTTAACTATATTATTTTCTGAAAAAATTATTAAGTCAGAGTCAGTGAAATTTTACAAAAAATGAGTATTTTTATAATCGAAATGAAAAAAAGCATTTTTATTTGGCCATTGTCTCTAACAAACAAACGACAGAAAAAATTTTGTTTAAAAAAAGTTATTGTAAAATGAATTTTTTTGCAACTTTTTATAAAAAAATCTTATTTTTCCTAAAACAATGAACTCTTTGTTGAAGTGCAGCACCAATAGCAAAGTCCGAAGCGTCACAAAATATTGCCAGAGGAACGTCATCTCTTGGATGAGCAAGAAGTGCAGCTTGAGCGAGGCTAGATTTACTTTTAATGAATGCATTTTCAGCGTCTCGAGTCCATTTTACCGGCACTTTTCCTTTAACATTGCCTTGCAACAACTCGTTTAAAGGTGCTTAAATTTTCGCCGCCTCAGGTATGAATCTCCTGTAGAAATTCAACATACCTAAGTATTTACGAAGTTGTTTCACTGTTTCTGGTTTTGGATAAGTTTGAATTGCTTCTACCTTATCAGGTAAAGGTTGAGTACCACTGCCACTGACAAGATATCCAAAAAATTTTACTGCACTTTGTCCGAAAACACATTTCGACGTATTAATAACCACTTCGTATTTCCGTATACGCGTATAAAGAATTTTTAAATGTTCTATATGCTCTTGTTCCGATGATGATGCAATCAAGATGTCATCAATGTAGGCAAAACAAAATTCTAAAACACGAAGCACTTCGTCGATAAAACGCTGAAATATTTGTGCCGCATTTCGCAAACCGAAAGTCATATAAGGAAACTCAAATAAACCGAACGGAGTTGTAATGGCTGTTTTACAAATGTCCTCTTCGGCAACCGGAATTTGGTGAAACGCTTTCATAAGATCTATCACTGAAAATATAGATTTTCCGGCAAGATTATGCGTAAAATCTTGTATATGACGCACAGGGTAACAATCAGGTTCCGTCACCGCGTTAAGACCTCGATAATCGCCACACGGTCTCCACTCTTCATAAGGCTTGGGAACCATGTGTAGTGGTGATGCCCATCGAGCTTTCGATGGTCTTGCAATACCGAGCTTTAAATAATTTTCGAATTCCTTTTTCGCGGCTCTTTGTCGGTCTGGGGCTAAACGTCGCGGTTTTTGCACTACCAGAGGTCCATCTCGCGTTTTTATGTAATGAACTGTACCGTGTTTTGCTGTAACCCTTCCGTCAGGTCTTGTAATTTCCGGGAATTTTTCCAAAAGCTCATGGTACACACTACACCCAGAAACACTTTTAACACTAAATATTTTACCATTGACCGCTTTTCCTTCTGCCGCGAGCTTTGTCACTGAACTAATTAATTTTCGATTTTTAACATCTACCAACAACTCGTAGTGTGCCAAAAAATTGACGCCGATAATCGGTTTGGTCACGTCCGCGACAACGAATCTCCACGGATAGTCACGTCTCAGTCCCAAATTTAGATTAATGTTGGTGGTACCGTACGTTGCGATAGTTGTCCCGTTTGCCGCGGAAAGTTCGTAAGAAGACTTTTCTCGCGACTGACGGAGTAACGCGCGAGGAAACACGCATAAATCCGCACCAGTGTCCACTAAAAATTGCATGTTTGTCGCTGAATCACGGATAAAAATACGGCGCGACGTGGTTGGGCCAAGGTCGTCTGTCGCCATTAACGACTGGCCGTTTCGTTTCCCGGTTTGTACGAACATGGCGTCGTACATTTTGTCGCTTTATCACCGAAACGGTTGTGATACCAACAAACACCATTTGACTCACTTCTTCCGCGAGATTGTGACCGACCGCGAGAATGAAATCTACCGCGATTACCGGACCGATTATTGTCTCTTTTATTCTGAATTTCCGCGATTTGTGCTTGCATTATGCCCATTTTTTTAGTCATTGTAGTCACAACTTGGTCAAATTTTTGTAATAACAGGTCGAGAGACGCACTATTTATTACAGCTTCTAAAACCGAAGGGCGATTTCGCGAACTCACGTCGATAATTAAATCGGCTAATTCTGCGAGCTTGTCTAATGCAAGCTCTTGTTGCGCGGCTAAAATTGCTTGCACATTGTGTGGAAGACGATGGATCCACAATGTTCTGAGCATTGTGTCTGGTACAGTAGCACCAGCGAGTGCTTGCAAATGTCGTAGAAATTGTGTAGGCTTTCTATCGCCTATTTCTTCTGATTCTAGTAATCTACGCGTTTTCTACTCTTGCGATGCACTTAACCGTTTAATAATTTGTTCCTTTAATTTAGTGTACGGATTTGTCTCAGGAATCGCAACAATCATATCGCGCACTTCCACTGGGACTTTCGGATCTAAGGCGTTCGCGACGCATGTATATTTTTCACTTTCACTTGTCACTTGAGATACCGCAAAACGCTGTTCCACCATGGAAAACCATAATTCTGGATCAGAATAAATAAAACTCGGGAGCTTCACATTCAAATTTGAACGAAATAATGCACTTTGTAATGCGGCATTGAAAGTTTCACTATTATAACTTCCGTTCGCCATTTTTATTTTTTTAGTCAAAAAATCGGAATATTATATTGAAATAAAATGCGCTTTTAATCACACCATAAAAGAAAAATCACGTCAGGGTCACCACTTTGGTGATTAAAGGTGCAAAAATAAATAAATAGCTGAAACTCGATTAAACTAAACAAAATTGCTTTTATTTTGAGAATTTGTTTCGAGAATTATGCTTGTGCTCTGGACGGAAGCGCAAAAGGTACTGACTAATCTATGCAATTAAAAAAAGGGACTTGTAGAGGTAAAAATGTGACTCACCCTGTACTACCTACGTACAGAGCCCAAAAAGTTTGCAAGTCTGAACGTGCAACGAGTTGAACAACAAGGTAATAAAAAACGGGTCTCAGGTATTTACCTGAAAGCGAAAAAGTGTACAAAACTGTTAAAAGTAAGAAAGTTAGAAAAGTTTAGAATATTCCGTCCAGAATACAAAAATCACAAAAAATATTAATTTATTATAAACAACAAACATAAAACCTAATGTGTATACATTAATTTATATGCGTGTGTGTTGTGTATTTGTTTGTGAACTATGTTATATATGTATATGCATATATGTATATATATATATATATATATATATATATATCCATTTATAGAATCAATTTAAATTTAACAAAAAATATTAAATTTCATAAATAAATAAACAAATTGTTTTTAATTTTTATGTATGTGTAAGTGTGGGTATGTGAAAACAGTAGCCACTAGTGGTGCATAACGATGCGAGATTATCGTTATTCTCGTTCAATTGTCTTACAATTTACGATAATTTTTTTAAGATATTCTCGTACAGTCTTTTGTTTTTTGTTTTTCATTATCGTCTTTTAATTGCGATACATTTCTCGCTACACAAATGTCAATTAATGTCAAACGATAAAATGGAAAATGGTAACGGGCAATCTTCACAAATGCAGGAAATTATTTGTAAGCCGAAAAGAAGAAAGCATAATGGGAGAGATTTGAACGAATCATTTACATTTTTTCTCGATGATCAGAAAATTAAATGGGGTAAATGCAAAATTTGTCTTGCTCAAAATCCGGAAAATGTACGAATGATAAAAATGACGGGAAACAATACAACCGGATTAAAAAAGCACCTTGAAAAAATCCATCCTAAGGAATTTAAAGAAACTTATCCGTGTGATAATACTCAGGTTAATTTAACATATATGATTTTTAGATTTTTATGTAATTTATAATTAATTTTTGTCTAAACGAAATTTCATTTTACACATAAAACCATTTGTGACAAATATAACTACAATTTTTTCACATAAATAATCATTTAATTTTTAATTTTAATTTGATTTATTATAATGTAAAATTAAATTCTGATAATAATTAATTTGATTTAATTTTGTATTTGAATTTTTTTATTGCTCAGAACAAACGCTTTTATTTGTAATAAATGTATTTTAAAATTAGGCAATGAAAATCAAAAATTACTTTTACAATTTTATTAGTAACTATAAAGTAAAGAATTTATTAAAGAAGGTGCAACATATTTTGTGCAAATAATTAAGTTTTAAAAATAAAGAATTCATATTAAAATAATACAAATTTAAAAAACATTTTTCACAAAAAATTGTGTTATATGAACACAAAATATTTTTATTACATAGAGGAAAAATATTGTCTTTTAAATAACAAATGTTATTAATTTAATTAAATGTTTTGATTGTAAAATTATTAATGTGTTATTATTATTAATTATTATTTTTTTAAATTTAAAAAATGCTGAGTTTTGTTGAATTTAATCAAACTTTTTATACTGTTACGTCAAAACAAGAAACCTTTTTAAATATACCTAACGTTCCTCGTTTTAAATTGGTTTCATAAATGAATCCAATTTGGGATGAGGATAAGTCAATGAGCCTACTAAATGTGAGAGAATAATTTATTTAAAAACCAACAAGAAAGAAAAGAGTTGACAAAATTACAATGAGTACAAAAATTATGAATCTTACTTAAAGAATAACGATTACTGGTGGTGTGATGATAATCTGTTGTCCGATCTCAATGGTGATGAGCGGTAGACGAAAAGGGGCCTTTTGTTTGTTGTCCTTAGTGGTTGGGTATTAGACCTCTTGTTTACACTAATGAGATAGTGTATTGTATTGTTAAAATATCTGCTTCCTTCCAGACGGTTGTCGCCTCTTGAGCAAATTTCGATGGTTCGAAATTTGGAATGTGTTGTTTCAATATTAGGTCTTCGTTGATAGTTGAGATTATTTCCAATTTAATATTTTTGGAAATTGTTTAAAATTTATACTTTGCAAATTTATAATAAGAGGTTGTTTAAAGTTCACTTCTTATTTAATACTTGGGGAAATAGTTCACTTTTAATAATGTACGTTCAAAATAATACTTGGGGTTATACGTTTCACTTTCAAAGATGTACTTTTAATTCACTTGTAAACTATGCGATGTTTACTTGTAGACAATTTGATAATGACTGAGCGATGTGTACAGGTTGATTCCCAAAAAATTACTCTCTAGTCTCTTGTTCTGAACGATGTGTTCAGGTTGATTTCTAAATAGTTACTCTCTGTTATCTGCAGAAATTGTATCCCTTTTATACGAAACTGTCTTCATTAATGTAATGCTTTGGAATCATTCAAGTGTGGAATTTAAGTTGCACGTGTCGATATTGGTCAGATTAAGTGGGGGTGTTGGGCGACGGCATTGCTGCTGCTAGACGGGGCGACTGTTGACTCTTCTTCTGTCGCACGTGTCGATATTGGTCGGATTTTAAGTGGGGGTGTTGGGCGACGGCATTGCTGCTGCTATACGGGGCGACTGTTGACTCTTCTTCTGTCGCACGTGTCGATATTGGTCGGATTTTAAGTGGGGGTGTTGGGCGACGGCATTGCTGCTGCTATACGGGGCGACTGTTGACTCTTCTTCTGTTTTTTAGTTGGGTTGAGGGGCGAGTCGCTCGTTGCCTTGTTTGTTTTTCTTCATGTGGCGAAGATTATTTGAAGGTCGTTTAACTGATGCACTATCGTTATTCTTTTTACATGATTTAAAATATTACTCATCTTTCTTGAATTCATTATACTTGCAAATTGTTTAGATACAAATGAGATATATAAAATATGCTAATTATAATGCAATGGTATGAAATACATAGAATAATAATATAACATATAAGAAAAATACAATATAAAAAATAGGAAATACATTCATAAGTATCGAAGTTAAATTAGGTATATTAACAAGAAGTTACGGACGTAACACCTACCCCCTTAGATTGAGCATGGGAGAGAAACGAAACATGCTAAAACTATTATTACATTGATATTGTAGAGTAGATGTTATTACTTGTTTATGTATGTATTCTATGCATTTAAAAAAAAATTTTCATTCAAACTTTATTTTTATCTGAATTATAATAATTATTCCTGTTATTAATTTATGTTTCTTGAATTATTGTACTCCATCCATTCTTGTGTTCTTAAAAAAAATTCATTTAAACCTTATTGTAGAGCACTAGATTTTTATTACAATAATTATTTTTGTTATTAGTGTATGTTCTTTGAATTAAGATGCACGCATTCCATCCATTCTTTATATATGATTTTTATTTGAATTATAATAATTATTTTTGCTATTAATGTATGTTCTTTAAATCATTCTTTTAAATTCACAGTATACAATGAATTTTATGTAAATATTTTATGTATTAATTTTATATAATGAATTTTATGTTTGATACAATTTGATGCTTACAATTTTTATCTACAAAAAGAAAAATAATTTGTTCTATACAAAGGATTGCTTTTTTGTAAAATGTTGTATCGAAATTAACAAATTATAATTTTTTATAGTCTGCTTTGAAATTGCATTAAAAAAATATATTTTTACAATTTGGTTTTGAAACTTGAGTCTTGTATGACTTAAAACTATGACAAAATTTTTGCTCTAAAATTAAAAATTGTTTATGATTGAAATTCATTGCAGATTTAAAGATTTTTTAAATATTTTATTATTTATTATATATTTTTTAAATCATTTAACCTTTATAAGCAAAAATTTTCTACTTTCAATTTTTACAAACAGAAAAATATTTAATGACACATTTTTTTTAACATGACAATTTTTAAATGTTTATTTCTTAATTTCCGTCGCTTTTAGTTATTTCATTTATGCAATTTTCTTTCGTTCTTAAGTTACATTTAGACATAAATCATTAAGTGTTTGAGAAGGAAGGAAATTTCGTTTTTTCGAGTTTCAGATAAACCTTGTTTTTAAAAATGTTCTTAAACTCTGTGGTTGTAATACTTTTTTCTATTTAAATAGCTTTTTTCTTGATAATACTCTTCAGTCAATAATAAGGTAAAATTTCGAAGTAACCTTGTTTTGTTATTATAAATTTGAAAAATACCATTTTAAATTCTTCTTTAGTAAAATTATATTAAATAAGGTATAGAGTTTATTTTAATGTGTTAAAAAAAAAGAGTTTTGATTTCTTTTAGTGCAAAACAAGTATGCAGAACAGTGTTTAAGATTTAAGATCAAATCATTACAAAATCAAAAATTGATAAAATGTTATAAAAATTTAATTT